GTGCTGCCGGGTTGGTCCTGGGGGGACCTACCCGGCAGCGCCCCAGCTGTTCTGTCCCAGGCTCCAGATTCAGCTGCTATTGAAACTGATCAGTGGCTGATTCCAGGAAGCTGGGGGCAGAGCGACTCTGCCTCGGGCTTCCTGTAGTCAGCCCCTGGTCAGTTTCAGCAGCAGCGGCTGAATCTGGAGCCAGTTCCGAGTTATGTACAAATTCAACTTAAGAACAAACCTATAGTCCCTATCTTGTACGTAACCCGTGAACTGCCTGTATAGACACTTGTCCACAAAGAACCAATCTGAGATCTCCAACTCATTTTATAGACAAACTTATTACTCTATTCTAGTAGCCTATTAAACCTTTTCAGAGACAGAATCATCTCTCCACCAACAAGTCTCTTAGGGTATGTCTACATTTGCACCCTCTTTCGAGAGAGGGATGGAAATGAAGACATTCGAAATTGCAAATGAAGCCGGGATTTAAATATCCCGTGCTTCATTTGCATATTCATATTATGGTGCTATTTCGAAATAGTGCTATTTTGAAATAGCGGATGCTGTTAAGACACGGTTATTTAGAGAGAAAACCCTTCTCTCAAAATAACTGGTAAACCTCCTTGTATGAGTATTAAGAGTTATTTCGAGAGAAGGGTTTTCTCTCGAAATAACCACATCTTAATAGCATCTGTTATTTCGAAATAGTACTGGTATCCAAGTTTTTACTAAAGAGGTCAGATGTGGTCTTCCTTAAAATACATATGATATTCTCTACTTTCGCCTCTAAGAAAAAAGTTTTCTAAAAGTACTCCATGAAGCATAACACTCCACTATAGGCTATGAATCTTTTCAGGAAAGTTGAATGTGACATTCCTGAATTATTTGTATGATGTATGTTTTGTTGAATTTATATATTATTTTATATGCTGAACATGTTTCAATGTTAATGTAAAAGACCCCCAAAAGCACTTAATGAAAGTAGTGTTGGTAAATCCATAAAGCCCTCACTTGATGCTAGGAGTCATTATGATGTTGAAGGAGAAAAAAATTAAATCTTTTATCCACTTGTGTTCATTAAAGATCCCATAACCTCTCACTGAAATAGTGTAATATTCTAACTAAATTTCAGCTTGGAAAACGACATTCTGCCTATTTAAACTCTGTCTGCAGTTTCAGTTGGCTATGTTATTCTGCAGTGCTTTTTTTGTTTAAAAAAAAATAAAAGAAAGGTGCTGATACTAGGGTTGCCAGAAGCCCAACAAAAAAACAAAATAACAAAACAAAAACAACCCACGTTGCGGCAAAAATGCAGTCGGGGCCCCTTTAACTGTCCCAAGCTGGCTTCCGTCTGGCACGGCGCGAGTGCTCCTAGGGTTCGCTGGGGGCTGTGCCGAGGGAAAGCAGTGAGTGCTCCCAAAAAAAGGTGATGGTACGCTGTACCGGTGCATACCATCACAAAAAAAGCACTGGAATTCTGCACATCCTATGTTAAACATATAGGTAAGATTATTATTAAGGGGTAATACTTTAGGGCTGTGTCTACACTGGCCACTTATTCCGGAAAAGCAGCCGCTTTTCCAGAATAACTTGCCAGCTGTCTACACTGGCCGCTTGCTTTTCCGGAAAAGCAATGACGATCTAATGTAAAATTGTCATTGTTTTTCCGGAAAAACTATGCTGCTCCCGTTCGGGCAAAAGTCCTTTTCCGGAAAAACTGTTCTGGAAAAGGGCCAGTGTAGACAGCACAGTAGTCTTTTCCGCAAAAAAGCCCCGATCGCGAAAATGACGATCGGGGATTTTTTGCGGAAAAGCGCATCTACATTGGCCATGGACGCTTTTCCGGAAAAAGTGCTTTTCTGGAAAAGCATCCTGCCAATATAGACGTGCTTTTTCCGGAAATACTTATAACGGAAAACTGTTCCGTTTTAAGCATTTCCGGAAAAGGGTGCCAGTGTAGACATAGCCTAGGTGTGATAGCACTTCAGTGGAGAAGATTCTTGTTTCTCTGTGTTGCATTCTGGGATTACTCTTGATGAAAGAAGATATTTAATCACACCATAAAAAATACAGTAGATGTAATCCAGGATAAAATGTATCTAATGTATGTTGTTAAAAATGAATAAAAAGATTTATTTCCAACCTGTTTATATCATATCCCCTTTCAAAGAGAAAGACTCATAATCTTTCTTTGGATCATTCCAAATGCTGCTTACCTACTGTTTATGTACATATTAGGGATGCTGGCTCTTACTATATTTAAAAAGCAGAAGCGCAGTGCAGGGGAAAGGCAGGCTGATGTGCAGCAGGGCTGGGGGGTCCTGGCATAAGCCAGGAATTAGCTGTCTCAGCTGCACTGGGTCCCACTGATGGCTCTTAATACATTTAAAAGGTAGAGTTGCAGTGGGGTTAGCTCCCGGTCCCAGGAGCTAACCCTGCTGCAGCACCCCCACTTACTGACTAATCGACTAGTTAATGGAAAATCAACTAGTCGATTAGTTGATTAAACTAAATTTAACATCCCTAGTACATATCATGATACAAAAAATACAAGGCCAGCAAGGGTTATCATGTGTAAGTTAGAACATATCTCCTTTGAAATGGAGTTTAATGTGTATATTTTTCAATATACAAATAGTAATAACTTAAAATACTGCCCTGCATTATTAAAAAAACACATTGTTTTACATAAAGGAGTATCTCAATATACCTTGTTTCTACACAGAAAAGCCAGAAGGGTGCACCATTGTTCTTGTTTACCACCACCTCCTCCAATGACTGGAGCTCTTTCATAACCAAGGACGTTAACAAATCTTGCAGCTTGCCTGGGTGTGTCCAGCAACCGGCCTGCTCGAAGTGGTCTGACATATGAACATACTGGACGGTTGATCCCATTTTCATCCTTAACATAAAAAAAACTGCAATGAATGGGAATTAATCAAAGTTCCATGTAAAAATAAGATGCCATCAGTCTTTCTGGGAATAAACAGCTGCATCGCAAAACTAAATGTGTGTGTAGCTAACTGATCTTTTGCTTTAAAAGAGGTCATTTACAAAAAAAAAAACCAGAGTGCTACTACCAACAAAGCATTGTTCACACTTTCACCTGTTGTGACAAAACTTTGTCGTTCAATGGGAAGAGGAAGGAAGTTAAACACCCATGAACAACAAAAGTTTTGTCGATTAAGTGCAAGTGTAGACTTAGCCTGATATTGGTAAAAAGGGTTAATTTTACTTATATAAAGTGCATTCACTCCAGAATAACTCAGGATGTTACACAGGCAAATGCAATCAAATTAAAATAGTTTCATTAACATGTCATAATGTAAAATGCAAAGACAAAAATATTAAAGAGATTAGTACCATTTAGTCAGAAGTTCCTGAATAAAAGCCAAAAATACTGTCACGAGAGTAAACGTTCAAGACCTACTTAATATTGTCACACTGCAATAAACCTTTATATTATTACCAACCAGGGCTGGATTTGAGCTATTGATATATTCTATATCCCGTTCCAATACCCTCCCACAATATTTCAAAGGTAAATAAATGCATATTTGTATTATTTTAATTTACATAAAATCAGATGTTAATATTTCTCATCTCTTCCTCAACATCTCCAAGAAATCAGAATGAGAAGAGTCTGAAAGATGTCCTATCAGGTTATGATTTGCTGTAGAGGAAAGTCTGTAGCACCATCTTCTTCATAATTTTTAAGAGTTTCAAACAGTATAAAAATTCACTTTCACCACTGCAATATCCCATGGCCAAGAAAAAACTACTAATAAGTTATACAGGTCATGATAATAAAACCTTTTAGTGTACATATTCTATAAGCACCCAATGGGACACCGAAAGTATATTCTAGGAACAGAAGTTTTTAGTTTCTTTTATTTAGGCTTGTAGCTTCAGGAAATAATGGACTTAAAAAACATGAGATGTTAATGTTCAGGCCTTGGTTAGATGTAACAATGGGAAGAAAAACCTATATTTGAATGGAGGAAGAAATACTTCTCAGATAGCTGCCACTTCTCTTAAACTAATCTATTTGTAGCTCATCAGAATTCTGAAGAAAATAGAATAGTAGGCAGAGGACATAACTCGGCCATGTCTTCCATGACTATACTTCTGTGCCACATATGTGGTGGTGGTAGTCAGATGATAAATACATTTACTATGCAATTTTGACTGTCTCTCTTGTCTTCTCTATCTCTACTGGAACTTACTGTAACATTATTAAACTCTGAGCAGTTTCAATAAAATAGCTCCACTGTAATTTTTAAAACTCTAAAATATTATTAAAAGTTGTTCTGTAGTGTATCTAACATACAATGATGGTTTAGTGTGACAAGACCATGTTTGGAATGACCTTCATAATTCACTTAATGTTTTGCCAGTTGTAAGCAATGCAGAAATCTTACATTCATTAGGATAAAATTTTATATCGCATTTCAATAGACATTCTGTACCTATACGGTCTTATACAAAACAGGGTACTTATAGCTGTAGTCTCTACATACAATTAAAAGAACTTAAATTTGGAGTAGAGCAGATATTTGAACCTTTTAGAAGAATTCACAAACCTGTGCAAAAATCTTTACTAGCCTGGTGTTATGTGAAGGCCTGATCTGCAAGTATTCTCTCCACCACTGCTTAGCATACACGAGAAACAAACGTTCTTTTTCTGCTGTTTTCTGGCGTTCTAAGGCAAGCTATAGTAGAAATAAATGTATTTAGCTTTAATATTCCTAATAGACATTAATGTTATGAAATAATATTTTAAACTATAAACAGTCATCATGATAAGTTGCAGCTTCATCAAATCTTTCTATTCTTAAAAAACACCTTGATATTTAAAAAAAAACACCAGTTATTTAAGTGTTAAAATTAATCTTACTTAGAAGTTGAAATTAAATTTTGAAATATTTCCTAACAACTAATGAAAAAATCCTTTTATTTGCATGCTAACACATCAAAGCACTTCTAGATTTGTCATCAGTGTTGTGTATCTTGTTAATGAAAGTGAGGAACAACTTCTCTGTCTTTATGAGAATATTTACTAGCTTTCCTCATGAAGGGAAAGGTAGTAAGGAGACAAACATATATATCATGTACACAAGGGAAATAAATGCACTGAAGTTTCCTTACTTTTCTGCCCAAAAGTGTACTAAAGAACTATAATTATCACAATAAAATTAAGTTTAGAAGATAAAATGTAAATAGTAATGTAATTTGAGATAAAATTATATATTTTTAAAATTACACAGGAGAAACAGTTGCTTGTAGAGAATTTTTAGATTAATATCATTGTTCAATGAATACCCTTCAAGACAATTTAAAAATTAATGATCACAGGAGAATACTCTCTATACTTCAAGAGAAAGCCTCAAGGAGCTCAGTCCATCTAGTTTAACACAAAGGTTACAGAGTGATTTTATTACAATCTGTAAGTACCTATAAAGGGAACAAATATTCGATAATGAGCTCTTCAATTTAACAGAGAAAGGCATAACCCAACTCAATGGCTGGAAATGGAAGGTAGACAAATTCAGACTGGAAATAAGGTGCAAATTTTTAACAGCAATTGTAATTAATCATTCTAACAGTTTGCCAAAGGTCATGGTGAATTCTCCATCTCCGGAAATTTTGCTCTAAGAATTGTTTTGGGGACGTTCTTTAGCCTGTGTTACACAGGAATTTGGAGTAGGATGACAATGGTCCATCCCGGCCTTGCAATCTATATATCAACAAGTCTGCAATTTGACAGCTTGGTTAATTTAAAAACAAAACAAAATCACTTTCTGTACAAATTTTGAATTACTTACTTGAGTATTAACTATTTCTTGGGACAATGTCGTATTTAGTTGTGGGTACATCTCAAGTCGGATATTTAGGACTCCAACAGAAACCTTTGATTCTGTACCTTTAAACCAAAATACTGCTTGGTCAATTTGCTGAGAATTTTAGAGACATCTAAGACACAGATTGGTCTACCAATAACGAACATATTACAAAATTCTCTACTTTTAAAATTCTTTTATCAGTCCCTTTTGATTCTTGACAGATGCCAGTCTCTCTTACGATCATTAGACTGATGCTTAAATATTTGTGTACTTTATTATATGTACGACAGCAGCATCTTGAGACACCAGTCAAGAATAAGGGATGACTTCACTTAGGCCTGATCTATAGTATGGCATTAGGTCAACAGTTATAATTCATGTGTGTCCACGCTATCCTTTCGACTGACATAAAAGGCTTGTAAAATTAATTTCTTAACAAGAAGCAACCCTCCCAGATCAACTTAAGTGTAGTGTAAACAAAGTGCTGTGTGACTGCACTGAATACCACTTTCAATACCACTGTACTTCAGCCAGGTACACAGGAAATCTTTGGGAACTTTTGAATTCTCATTTCCCGTTTGATCAATGTGGAGAGCTTACCAGCACAGCTAAGTATGCATACTCAGGGCCACAAATGCACTGCAGCCCTGAGCATATAGGAGACATTTGAGCTGACTGCTGTGTGGGGAAGAGAGCCTGTCTAGGCAGAACTCTGAACCAGTAGAAAAAATGCTGACACCGATGCCAAAATCGCTTAGGGAATAGGGGACAAGGGCTTCACCAGGGACACACAGCAACGTTGCAAGAAAATCAAGCTCAGACAAGCATACCAGAAGACTAGGGAGGCAAATAGTCACTCTGGTTCTGAGCCACAGACATGCTGCTTCTATGAGCAGCTGTATGCCATTTTAGGCAAAGACCCCACCTGTATCTCTCTGTGGATACCTCCCAGGACACTGGGGTGCCATGAGCAACAATGAAGATATTGCTGATGAAAATGAAGAGGAGGAGGTGGAAAATGCACAGCAGGAAAGCAAATGATTCATTCTCCCAGATAGCCAGGACCTCTTTCTAATTCTGGTGCCAATCCCCTCCCAGGCAGTACTCCCTGTAAGCTGTGTGCTTGTGTAGCCCCTCAGAAGAGATCAAATGCCACTCAGCTGATTAGCAGAGTACCCACAGCTAGATTTATTGTTTCTACTGGTGTTGAATGTTTGCACATGCCTCAATTCACATATAAAAATGTATTCCACACATAGATGGAAAAAATCCATGCAGCGTTGGAAAAGATTTGATAAACAATGCTCCCAGGACATATTATTGCTGGACCCTGATGGCAGGGAAGGCACCTCTGATGAATGCACATTTGTAGTCACACCATAGGGGTTAATGTTTAATCTGAGGTAAATACTTAGGATACAGTGGAGTCAGTTCAGTTACACAGAGGGAGCTCCTTAGAAAAGCCTGTTTATGTGCCTGGGGATGGACAGAGAATCCTCCATGGAAATCTCTAGGAAGCTCTCATGGAGGTACCCTGCAATTCTTCACAGTAGATTCTGTGAAGGGCTTGCCCTATTCCATCCACACAGGTAGGATACTTTCCCATGCTACGCCAATATTAAGTGATCTGGGATACTCGAAGAACACATCATAGCAGCAAAAGGTCCTGGTCTCTGCCAAGATTCCTGTAGCAACCACACCCTTTCCAGCTGTGTTACCCTCAGGAGACTAATATTGCACAATTACAAGGTGAAATTGGGAAAGTTGCGTAAGTGCTAGTCTGAAGTAATCCTTTCCTGTTTGGTGATCCATGCCAAAAATGTCTGTGTGTGTGCTCTGTTTGTGTGTGGTACAGTAAAACTCCAGTGGTCCGGCATCCAATGGGCCGGCACTCCTGATGGTCCGGCACCATCTGGAACCCGGAAGTGCTCCGGGCAGCCGGACAATTGGAGCTGCTCTGCCCCCGGCTTCTCCATTCAACCGCTGCTGAAACTGACCAGCGGTTGACTCGGGGAAGTCGGAGGCAGAGCAGCTGGGGTTCTGCAGGGTTGGTCCCCTA